AACGACTACGAAGAGACACTAAACGATTACGAAGAGACACTCAACGACTACGAAGAGACACTAAACGATTACGAAGAGACACTCAACGATTACGAAGAGACACTCAACGACTACGAAGAGACACTAAACGACTACGAAGAGACTCTAAACGACTACGGAGAGACACTAAACGACTACGAAGAGACTCTAAACGACTACGAAGAGACTAAACGACTACGAAGAGACTCTAAACGACTACGAAGAAACACTCAACGATTACGAAGAGACTCTAAACGACTACGAAGAGACTAAACGACTACGAAGAGACACTAAACGACTACGAAGAGACTCTAAACGAGTACGAAGAGACTAAACGACTACGAAGAGACTCTAAACGACTACGAAGAAACACTCAACGATTACGAAGAGACTCTAAACGACTACGAAGAGACACTAAACGATTACGAAGAGACACTCAAAGATTACGAAGAGACTCTAAACGACTACGAAGAGACACTAAACGACTACGAAGAGACTCTAAACGACTACGAAGAGACACAAAAGACTACGAAGAGACACTAAACGATTACGAAGAGACACTCAACGATTACGAAGAGACTCTAAACGACTACGAAGAGACTCTAAACGACTACGAAGAGACACTGAACGACTACGAAGAGACACTGAACGACTACGAAGAGACACTGAACAATTACGAAGAGACACTAAAAGACACTAAACGACTACGAAGAGACACCAAACGACTACAAAGAATTGATTTAAAGCTCCAGAACAGCCACTGAGGTGCTGAGACCGTTTGCTGCTCTTGTGAAATATAATCCTTCAATAATTAACTAAAAGTGAAATGCTGTTTTCTCTCAACACTGAACTAAACTAGTGGTTCTTAACTTCTTCTTGTGAAACGCGTTCAGAGAGGGAACAGAAAGGGGCCTCATGTTTGTGACTAAATGTGCTTCACTTGAACGTGTCGGGAGCCCAAAAGAACGACAGCTCCTGAACACAACCAGGTGATCCCTTTTGTTCACCGGCTGATTCGCTGACTTCAGGTTCGGGGATGAATCTGTTGGACATCAGGACCAGAAACTGGTCTGAGATCTGCCTGGACGCCACCGCTCCTCATCTGGACCGACTGCTGGGCGCTCCGGTGCCCTCCACGTCTGTACTGGTGAGACTGGTCTTCACTGGTCTTCACTGGTCTTTACGCTGTGGTGTGTGTTGGCTGAGCTCTGACTTCAGTGCTCCGTCGTGTCCCTGCAGGGTCCCGTCTCCGCCTACTTTGTGCAGCGATATGGTTTCTCTGAGAGCTGCAGGGTGGTGGCCTTCACCGGAGACAACCCGGGTAAGATATGACCTGAGACCTCCGGCTCACTGCAGCAGGACTCCAGTCACTAACTCTCACACTAAACACTAGACACGTGACCTTTAACCCTTCCTGTGGCTCATTTAATATTTTATATAGTAGTCATTGTGAAATCCACTCATTCATGCAGTTCTGTTGTCTGAACACAAGGTGGTGCTGCTGGGATGCAACATCATGTTACGTGTGTGTGTGAGAGTGTGAAAAGAGGAAATGTCAAATGGAAATTTCCTCTTTTCACACATTTACTTTTTTTTTCATTTATTTACTTCCTGTTGTCCGTTTTTCCTTCTTTTAAATATTTGATGATGGAATGAAACGACGAGTTGTTTTTTTACCCTCGTGGATCTTTTTGTTCCTCCGTCGACGTGTTCAAATTAAAAACAACAAAAAGTTCAGATATGTTACATATTATTATCATTAAAGTGAGTTTTCTCTCCTCAGCGTCTCTGGCAGGAATGAGGCTCCAGCAGGGCGACGTCGCTGTAAGTCCACATGAGACCTGTCCGTCTTTTAGCTGAGTCGGTCCTCTGTGTGGTCAGTGTGTGTTACACTGTGTGTGTGTTACACTGTGTGTGTGTGTGTGTGTGTGTGTGTGTGTTTCACTGTGTGTGTGTGTGTGTGTGTGTGTTACACTGTGTGTGTGTGTGTGTGT